ACTTCCATTAGAGCAATCTCACACAAACTATTTATACTTCATAGATTATATTATTTCAAAGCTCTATTATACTCTATTTTACTAGATTGACAATGTACAAAACAAAATGCAACTAAAAAAACCTTTTCATAGATCCTTAAAATGTAAAAGGTGGGATAGTGAAACGGGTTTTCCCATTTAAATACATTGGAAAATCGTCCGTTTTACTGCCCCACCTGTATATTAATTTCTTGTTATTTTCTAAAGAAAAATTGATTTTCTTACATTTAAATTGAAATAAATCGTATACTGGTACTGTGATGGAGAAAACAATAAATTTTACCTACATATATTACTTATTAGTTAAATATTACTAACGTGTATAGCCACTAGCGGTCGGCTGTTACCTGTTATTTAACAATAACCTTTTATGGATATTTTAATAATAGTATAGGAGCAGTATCATGATGTTAAATGTTCACGAGATTTGATCTAGTCATAAAATAAAGTACTATCATTCATGACTTTTAAATACTATTAAAATATATCTTAACTTGAACACAGTAATAAAATAATGAAATATTTTATACAAAATTAAAGCTAAAAAATTAAAACTAGCATGGAGCAGATTAAAGATCTTATATAAGATAATTTAAACAATCAAGCGTGAATCTCTTTAAATGAATAGCAGTATAACAATATGCAAAACAATAGTTTTCCTTTAAAAAAATTGTGTAATAAAAAATACATTTTGGGGCGGTAAACTGCATAAAAACCAACACTGAATCTGAATCCAAAAAACAACAGTCCTCTTCATAATTTGCAGGTAGTTGGACCTTATATACTCATAGTTGACCTTCGGTAAGGTTATATAACGCAGGCTATAAAATAACGAGATAACGACAGTGGTTTTGTCGTATCAGAATCATTAAATGTCTTAATAAGTACACGGATAGGTTCTTTTCCCAATAAATCGTGTGTCTACTATAATCAGTTACACGATTTAGTCGTCTGTGATATCATGTAATAAACACAATATTATGATAACGACCAAATGGCCCTAACCTAACCTAACACGGATAGACGTTACCAACTGATAGTTTTTAGTGTCTGTTCGTTTCTCACATTTGGTACACCGGGTTTTTAGTTGGATTTTTGTGTAAAAGACATCAAAAGTGGTCAAATTATATGTTTTTGGGGTCGGTGATTACGAATTTAATATCAGTTCTCAATTTTAATCAGCTAACAAGAACTTAGGTAAAAAAAAAAAAAAAGTTGAATTTCTGTAAACTTAAAGTCAAAAATGGTACTTGAGCACAAAACTTAATAGTATCATTCTGCATAGATATACATAAAATTGTTTTAATGATTTGATCAATTTTTTTGAAAGATTTTAGGTGTTTTTGTTAAAATATACGAAATCTGCGAAAACACAGTTTCCCGGCAATTAAAAAAAAAACTGTAGTGCCGAATTTTTTTCCCGTTTAATATGTTATGAGTTCCAACTACTGGCAAATTTTCAACCCAAAAGTTTTAAAATTACGGCTAAAAACCCCGAAAAACAAAAAAACTTGTACCCCCCCTAGGGGGATGGGAAATGGATATAGTTTAAGTTTGACACAACTGACGTGTGCGGACATACCAAATAATTATTTCTTATACATTTCAACTCAATCCGACTCTTTTTCTCGAAATTATAGCCAGTAAAAGTTCTAACTTAAAAACTCGTACGGTTTTTTTTTTCAGCTTTCGTCTGTGAAGAATTAAACATTTTCAACTTTTACCCCCCAAAGTACCAACTAGATGAAATTTTCGATTTATAGAGTTGCTACTCGAAGGAATTGGTCCAGTATTAAAAAAGTTATAGTGTATACAGATAAAAAAAAACACACATCAGAGTAAAACCAATACCTTCTCGCTTTGTATCGAAGCTAAAATCAACTGTAAACAAGTGATTATATTTTGTATACGATACAGTTAAACCATTATAGTTTAACCATAATATATTAGGTCAAAGCAGTGTATACTAGTTTTATGATGCAGTTTACACAGCTTAATAAACATAGTTCATCATATGTTATTTTTTCAAAAATCAAAAAACAAAAGTGTGTTTACCGTGTCTAATATAACGAAACAATTTTTGGCGTCAGTAAGTATAGAACTTTGAATTAAAGCTCGTAGTACAAATTCAATACGTTTATGTTTAAATCGTGGAAGTCGATAGTGTGCTTCATTATACAAAGAATTAACATATTTAGTTGTGAGCTTGAAACTGTTAGTGCTAATCCTACAGACGAACTAATCAGAGTTGAAACTTACGATACTGGTTACCATTCTAAAACCATTTACGATAAAGACACTCTATTCGTTATGCCGGTTGGTTTCATGAGTCACGTAAGAACGGTCAAGCTCAATGAACTTAAGTGTGCATTCCTTTATATCGTCAAACTGCACATGCACATGAACCTTAATTATTACAATGAAATCAATTACGACAGTCCTTACACACCACTTGATGAATTTTTATTCATAGAGGAAATTGCTAAGATGATAAACATAATGCTTAATGAACATTTTTGGCAAATTAAAGAATTCTGGTTAGTCAACTTCTACGCCCATGCGTCAAAAGTCTACTTTGATGCCAAACGTGAAGGTTGTTATGGTACGCCCAAAAAAGGCATTTTAGAGATGCATGATTTTGTCTTCGATGAAATTACAAAATATTTGAGATGCAGCTGCCACCGAGAAAACGCATTTAATTTCGATTACGAAGCAAATCTGCTAGCGAAAAAATATCCCGCTGTTTTAATCAAAAACGCACACAAAGAAGTTGTGCTTGAAGTATTTGCAATAAGACGAAATAAAAAATTGCTAGACGATTTAATAAAAAACATTAACACGTCACGCATGGCAACTAATAAAGACATCAGCATGAAATTTAATAATGATACACTGAATTTATCCAAAAACGGCAAAACAGATTCTTCATCAGATAGATGGTTTTGTAGTAATATGGTTCTGGGTTACATTCCATCAATCAACGGGCAAATTGTCTGCGACAGGATATCCGAATTAACTCGAGAGGTAAACGACACAGACTTGAGCGGAATAATAAGCCTGGGAAATCTTCATCGTGCAATTTTAGATGTACTAAAAATAATAATTTTGCGTACACAATGGAGGTTTGTGGAGAATTTAAAACGATTATTCGAGAAAAACTGTCATTATCAAATTATTTAATAAATAAATAAACTACATAGAAATTGAAGATAAATATTTCTTTATGAACAACTCGGTACTCTACGGCTTTTGTACCCATGAATTTTTAAATAATATAATAATTATAATCATGAATACAAACGCTGTAGCCTGTATTTGTTTTATTTTTTTTATTTACCTACAACCAAACTTAAATATGTTTATCATGTTACATTTTTGTCAATTTTGTGGTATGAATCACAAAATCAAGTTCTGTTCACAGCATTGATGCTACCTAAAAGGTAGACATAGGTTTTACAATGACATGTACATTATTTTATTTTATTTTTTTGGATCCACGATAAACTACCAATTTAGTACTTCAAAATAGCATTTTGTACCTATGTAATATAAAACAAATATAAACAGGAATTTTACAGCTAAAGATCAATACGCTACAGTATTTCTTTTATATAAACTCAACTGTAAATCACATTTTTAAAGCATATTTTTTCTTGTAGCTAACATGCATAGCTTTTGTAGGTAGTATAATATGTGTTTTACCATGTTATTCTATTTCTAACACCTGAGTAGAATACTTTAACAAAACATATTTCATAAAAATTACACATCTGTGTACAAGTGGGCTATTGTAAATAATGTGAACTTCTATATATTCTTATAAACTAGAGTAGCGTTACAAAAACACACAATTAAACTTGCTTTAGATTATATCTGCAATATTGTATTACTATCGAAATTTATACTTGCTAAACTAGTTGTTACATTTTCCTAAACCCAAACCTCAAAACTTTACCAAAAAAAAACGAAATAAAGAAAAAGTTCCCATCTCTTCTAGGAAAAAGGTTTTATAGCATTTTTTTGGTCTGTTAACGTTCATCGGTAGTACCATTGATTTTAGAATATACTTGTATATTCTAAAATCAATGGTAGTACCTACTATGTCTACAGAATATTCCTTACCAGACTTAGAACTAATGTGGTTATTTTTAAAAAAGTTATAGAGCGCCGCAAGCACAGTAGAAACAAAGCACAGTTAGAGCCAGTGCAGCTCAAACTAATACAGTACAAACCAAGTTCAATTATAAATTTGCAAGAGGTTCAATTAACTTGAAAGTGATTTAATAAATTTCGAAAGCTAGTACAATATAGACCATATTGTACGGTCAAAATCAGTAAAGTACAAACCAAGTATAGTTTACACCGGTACAGTTCAAACCAAACACAGTGTTGACCAACATAGCCGTAACCAGTGCATTCTAAACTAGTATAGTTTAAACCTGTAGAGTATTAACTATTAAACAAATTCCTGATTCAAGTATTGGTTTAAACTGTGCTTGGCTTATACCGTAAATTTATAATGAGCTTAATCTCCAATATTTTATTTTAAGTATATATTAAATAAATTTTGACCATGTCAATAAATTTACCGGTTAATTTGTATAAGCTTCAAGGTATTATTTTTAACTTAAATCATTTTGTCTATGACTAAAAGCCATTTTAGTTAATATAACATACATTTTTTTGTTCCATCGCACAGGCTCAGCCAGTGATTCGATAAGTAATATGAAAACAGATTTGAATTCGTCATGAAATATACTTGAAATATAATTTAAAGCTTTCCAAAAATAATTTCTACATACTTTGCAATCCCAATTTCATACTTACGCATTGATTTTCACACAATATGTCATTAACTATAGTAATTTAAACTCTAATATTGTTCTCGATGTTTTAATCATTTTAAAAAAACCAAATAAATATAAAAAAGACATTATTTTTATTAGTATATAAACAAATATCAAAAAAAATTTAACAAACAAGAGCGATAATAAATATTGAATGGTCGTAAAGGAAGCACCGCATACATAACCTTATGTAGCAAAACATGATAGAATAAAAATTAGAAAAATGATTAACGTTAGTAAAACCATATACATAGTTTTAGTTTGAATCGAAATCAATATTAAATCAAACAACAAAAGAATAATAATAATAATACCAAAACACAATTCGCAACATATTTTAACGCGATGAAAAAAATTAACTAAAAAATAATTGTTATTTTTAATCACTGCTACTGCTACTGCTGCTGCTGCTGCTGGACTTCTTTCCTTTGTGTTTGTCACCTTTGTGCTTGTAACCCTTGTGCTTGTGCGCCTTATGATGAAGTGCGTATGCACCGACACCGGCTCCTGCGGCTACGGGAACGCCGTACTTCAAAGCCTTTTTCGCCGCTTTTCTCTGAGCCTTTGCTGCTTTTTTCTGTAAATAAATTGTAAAAAAATTGTTTAAAATAAAAACTACAAACGTTTTTAATTTTTTAAATATCTTCTTTTTTTTTTTTTACCATTAAAGTTCTGTTTTTACTCACCCGACTAAAGTGACCCGTTAAAGCGTAATTTGTCATTGCGGCATTTATAGCATTTTTAATGGGCGACCGAGAGTATGGCTAAATGCATAATTTAAAAAAAAAAAAGCAATAACTATAATCAAACAAAACTCTTGCAGTAAGCTACAAAAAAAAAAAACCCCTAACACTGATTTTGATACACAAACACTAATAATGTACAATACAATTCAAACGCATAATAAAATAGCCAGCACAGTCGAGACGAAGCATTTTGGCGTCGGGTCAGGGACGAGTCTTTTAAAATTAACGTAAAAGAGAGATTGACAAATAAATGCTATGATGTGAAACTGTAGATGGTTAATCTAACCAAGTGTCCAAACTAAAATACAAAACTTGAGTTAATTTACCAAAAACTTATGTTTTTCACGTTATTGGGGATCGAGCGTCTTCCACTGAGGAATTAAGAAAACATAAAAAAATAATATATCATCGAGTAGAAAAAATGTACATAATTTCTTGTAGAGGATCTTTCTTGAGAGTAAATAGACATTTTTACACAGAATTAAGGACTTTGTTAAAAAAAATATAAAATAAAACAAATAGGGGAACCAAACATTTTTAGCAACCGAACAAGAAAAGAATTTGTCCGCCAATTTGTATAGAAACCAATAACTATCAACTCATAATGGCAGCGTTAGGCCTTCAAGGCTAGTTAAGCTTACTTGGCGATAATGATGATAATGACAACAGCAAAATGTGATTCTTACAAATAGTGTCTAACAAGACATAAACACACAAATTATTAACACACGACAACCCAAAATATTGTACCTGTAAATACGAAGAATGGTGCGTTTGTCCTGGGTAAGCTTTGTAGCCGTGTGGAACCCCAGTCATACTACCCGGGTGTCCAGGCATGGGCATACCACCCGGATGGCCTGGCATGGGCATGCCACCAGGTTGTCCGGGCATGGGCATATTATGTCCTCCACCCGACGGCAAGAAACCCGTAGGAACTCCTGGGGTCGGCATCGATGCGCTGCCAACGTTTCCGCCAGAAATTATGCTTATATTATGCAACTGAGCCTCGCCGTCGATGGCTAAATAGTACACGCTTTGAAAGGGCATCCTGTGTTTCATTTCGGTATAATGGAACCCGTTGTATGCGATCTAGAAAACAAAAAGTACACTGTAGGTAGACAAAAAAAATATTCTATTGCATTTTTCCAAGTGAAAAATATACCTTGTAGTCAGAAACGTCGCAGAATATGTCCAGTTTGAACGGTTGTCCTTTGATGAGCGACACGGGCGGGCCGTGAGATTCTTCGACTCCCCAGTTTTGACCTTGTATGGAATTTCTGACAATTAAATTGCGAGAGAAATCTAGGGCAACGTGCAAAGCCACCGCGTCTCTAGGAGCTACGTTCGGACCGACTTGTAGATTTACACAGACCCTATTATAAATTTGACAAAAATGTTATTGCTAGCTTAAAATATCTTCTCGAGTTCCGTTACTTACCGGTTTGTCGTCGGAAAAGAAACGCCGTCGACAGTGATCACGGTGCCTTGTCGTAGGCCATTTTGTATCGGCCCGATGAAAGGCATCGGCTGAGTAGCGTAAAACAAAATAGGGTTTCAGTTAGGCAGACACTAATAATTATTGCAAAGTGGGAAACTTACCGGATTGCTGAACGGTACTTGCGCCATAATAACAACAACACTATTGTAAAACTAAACTCAATACAAAATATACCTAATATAATATTATTTTATGTTGTTACTCGTTGATGACAATTTATACTTGACGAATAGACCGCGTTAGGTTAGGAGAACGACTAATAGCTAATAGGTATTACTTTCGAGGTGATTCATCTGACTTGTTTTTATAAACTTGTTCCAACGTCAATTGGTGTGTTGCTACTAGTTTTCATAGTCAGATGACTAATGTTTTTTGATAAAGTATATAGATATCGGCTATCGAGGCCGCCGTGTCTTGTATAATATTCGAGTTGAGTAATAATATTTAGCGGTTTAATGACGTCACTGAACGACTACTAATCGTCACAGCAAGGTTTCCCAGCTGGAATGATCTCAATGACGTCACCACATTGCTCTTAAATTTGGCCAAACGTACTTACTTGGCAATTTGGCATTTATTTTCAAGATTTAAGATGTATAAGAAAATTTCCCTGAATTCCAGTGTATATAAATATCTACATAGGTAAGCATGTATGTAATATATATATTTATGTACCTATATACTTTGTTTTAATTCACTTGAAAATAGAAAAAAAAAACAATTACTATTTCTCTAAATAACCAAAACCGGAATGTATTTTAATAAAAACTAAATATTTAAATACGACTTTGTGTTAGTGTTTGAAAGAATAAAAAAAAAGAAAAAGAAACGTGAACAAATTATTTCAAATCTCACATCAAAATATTGTATTATTTAAATTAACTTTCACCTTGATATTAATATATTATTAAAATAACAATGGAAACTAAATTATAATTGAACCGAAAAAAATGTTTACATAAAAGTTTAAATAATTAAATCAAACACTTTATTGAAAATAAAGGTTATTTGAAACACTACCTAAATAATAAAATAAATAAAATTACTCATTGCCTATTTTTTTTTTTCAAATAAAACATTTTCTATGAATTTCTATGAAACCTGTTGATTTTTATTCAAATAACCAATAATAATTTAGTTAGGTATTTAAAATACATTTTTTTAATCGTACATAGTATATTAAATAGTTTTTCAATTAAAGTACACTTTATGTAGGTAAGAAAATTAATTATTTCAAATAAAAATGTATTTATTATTTGGGTTGTGTTTTAAGAAAATTGCATATTTTTATAATAATTTTGCAAGTACCTACAACAAAACTTTACCTTTTTTTGAAACAGAACTATTCTTTCTTTTTTTGTTTTTTTGAGATTATTTTCGGTGTACTAAACTTGATCTTAGGTTTCGCTAGTACATCTAAGTTGTTTTTTTTTTTTATTGACTTCAATGACAAGATGCAAAAAACTCAGCTTTTTGATATTTCAACGTAATTTGTACATTTAAACGATTTGTCTAAAATTTAATTAGTTAAAAAAAAAGTCCTATAATATGTAAATATTTTGGGTTTTTTTTTAATAAAATTATTATAGCAAAATAATATCTACCTTGAAATATGAAATTTTACAATGCACTATTTTTTGGTTAAAATTCAAACGGATGCGCAATTACGATCAATTATTTTCAAAATAAAATATTTTATTATTCAAAAACAAACAAGTTCTTACCGACATATAAAACCAACAACAATAACAACTTGACATACATATACAATTGTTTAATAATATAATATAATACAAAAGCTAATCTCTCGTCTTTCATTGTTTTAAAACTTGATTTTTGTTAAGTTTTTTGAACATGCCGTCTTCAATGGACATCAGTGCGTCATACGTATCCAATTCGGCAATTTTTCCATTGTGTAAGACGGCTAGTTTGTCTAGACAAATAAAGAAGAAAATGTGTTGTTTATAAGCAGAATGACATTGAAATGAAATTAAATAAATTACCCGCATTTTTTATCGTCGATAGTCTATGAGCGATCGTCAACACGGTCCTTCCTTTTGACACCCTTTGTAGAGCTTCTTGGATTAATTTTTCACTTTCAGCATCCAATGCGCTATAAAAAAAAAAACATTATTTACATACTAATAAGTTTCTGATAATTTCTAGAGCGAGTCGGATAGACGACTAAAACTGTAATGCGGTAAAAATTGTTGTAATCTCTATTTGAATATCTTCTTTACCTCATTATCAAACTTAAGCCCTTAACTGGAAAAAATCATTTACGATAGCCACAATTTTTCTAGAAAGTTACAAACAGGCCTCACCTCGTCGCCTCGTCCAATAGTAAAATCTTGGGGTTTTTCAACAAAGCTCTAGCGATTGCGATTCTCTGCTTTTGGCCGCCCGATAACAGTATTCCACGTTCGCCCACTACCGTGTCGAAACCCTCGGTGAAATTGTTGACTATAAAATCGTACGCATTTGCTTCTTTGGTCGCATCGATAACTTCGCTTTCAGTGGCGTCGTCTTTTCCGTACATGATGTTTTCACGGACCGTTCCAGAAAACAAAACCGGCTCCTGAGTTGAAACAACGGCAAACGTTTTTTTAATTGCTATGACAATACACTGTAAATTTTTTTCCACCAACTTGGCTGACCACTCCAATGTGGCCGTGTAACCAAATAGGGTCGAGCGCTTTGATGTCGATACCGTCGATACAAATTTGGCCTCGCAAGGGATCGTACAAACGCAGTAACAAATGACCCAACGTACTTTTCCCAGTCCCGCTGTGACCGACCAACGCGTACACTTTCCCAGAAGGGACGTGCAGACTCAAGCCGTTTAAAATTGATGCGTCTGGCCGATTTGGGTAGTTGAATACGATATTTTTGAATTGTACATCGCCTTTCGGTTCACTCTTTAGCGACAGTCCTCCTAAACGACAACTTTCAATTATTATTGTTATTGTTAATGGTATATGAGGTCACTTAAAAGCCAACCGGAAATGGGTATGAGTGGTTTGCGGTCGATGATTTCCCATATTCTCGACGAAGCACCCAATCCTTTATTGATATCCGAGTAAAACGACGAGAGGCCGCCAATAGAAACGCCGGTGTACGCTGCATACATCAAAAAGGAAGTCAACTGACCGACGGTTATACTTTGTTCGCTGACCATTAGTCCGCCGTTGTACAACACGGTTATGATGATGAAATTGCCAGCAAATCCTGTCTGAGTGAAATGATATTAAAATCAAACGATATGAACAACAACGGTAATATTTACCATAGCAAAAAATAATCCTCTCATTAAAGATTCTTTTATGGAAAGGCCTAAAACTTTGTTCATTTTTTCTTTGTAACAAGACATTTCTTTGGTTTCTCGGCTGAACACTTTAACGGTTCGGATGTTGGATATTTTTTCTTCAGCAACTTGATTGGAATCGGCTAACGAATCCTGTTTGATAAATATGAAAAACACAACCAGAGAATAAGAAAAGTATGCCATCATCTTTAACGCATTTTTAACTATTTCTTACGATACCTGAACAGATTTTGTAATTTTTCGTACAAATCGTCCATAAATCACGGCTACGCCGGCCACAGGTGGTATTATGGACAACCCGAGTAAGGCCAGCTTTGAAGAAACTGCAAGCTAAACACAAGTATAAAACCATTTTAGCTTACGCAAAATTAAATAAAACATTATTATATAAGCATACCATAAAAGATACGCCACAAACGACCATTATCGTTGAACGCAACCCGTCGGATATGTTAGTCGTAACGGTCTGACTGACCAACAAACAATCGGAGGACAATCGATTGATCAGTTCTCCAGTTTTATGTCGATCAAAGTATGCAGTTTCTTGCGATAAAAGCGATTTAAACATTAGTTCTCTGAGTCTTTTCGTTATCCGATATCCTGTAAATAACAAATTGTACACACTGTCGTTAACATTTTCGAATACAATAATTTATTATTATTATTATTTTTTTTTTAACTTAATGAAACCATTTACAATGAATACAAATTTTACCAGAAGTGTTCATTAAATAAATTCTGCCGAAATTGCAAGCAGCGCCGAGTAAAAATACCGGAAGTAGTATAGCACATACTGTCACTAGTTTCGATTGAGTTTCCGTCGCGTCAGATTTGTATATTATATCGACAATGTGACCGAATGAAAAAGGAATCGCCATTGTTACGGCGCTAGACACCAATAGCAGACAGACTGCACCTAAATCAGTACAAATTAGATTTACACTCGAAAAAAGATTCTTTTGATCGGATCCGTTTACTTACATATAAGCTTATTTTTCTCCGGTTTGGCCAAAGCGTACAAGCGAATGATTTTCGATTCCGAGATCAACTTCTTGGGTACGGTGCCGTTGGATTTTGTGGTCGTCCATCGTATGGGATAACTTACCGACGGCTTGCGTCCACAGTATCGACCGATACCGATTACATGATTGTGTCGACAAAATGAGGGCAGTTTGATTTTGGCGTTTAAACTGTACCGTAACACACTTAAAGTCATGATAATAATATATTATTGTTTAATTGAAAAAGCCAATTTGAAAAGCCGTACTTCTTCACGTCCGACTTAAAATGTAAAACATTTCAATAGACATAATGACAATAATTAACAATCATTTTCATAATTATTGATCGAATATTTAACTTTAGTTATCACTTATCATGTGAACATCCCAAGTGATAGCGACGGGGCTGATAAGGATGAAGTTATCAGTAACCGGTAACGGTCATGTAACCGATAACAAGGTTTAGTATACAACTGGCTTTGATTGATAATTATTGCTTAAATTCATCGAGTAATTCGAGATAAGTAATAATATTGCTATACATCTTAATTTCTCTCGATTATAGTTAAGACTACAATACAAGGTCCAGCAGCACCTGTTGAATAATAATACCTGTTTATAGGTTATGGCCGTCACCGCTAGATCGCAGTACAAAAACCATAAATTAAAATAATAATATAGTATTCATAGAAACTTGGGAGTTGGGTTAGTGTGTAGACTTGTCCGCCCTACCGTGCAATTTTTGAATTTGGTTAATAAACCAACAGAAAAAAAAACAAACCGTAACAAGCTTAAAATTAATAATTACTAAAAATAACATACCTTGTAGGCGCAATTTGAGGGAAGCTTGAGACTTGGGCGCGGTAGGCATCCCTAAATTTGAAAAAATTACACCCTAAAATAGTTGTGTTTCATACCATAAGTAGTGAGATATTTTCAGTGCTTAAGCATACCCACAGCGGAATCGTGCCCCTAAAATATAAAATATAAATTGGAACAAAAAAATGTGAAATTATTTTGAAAATTAGCAGATAGTAGATAATAATATATTATTTTTGATGCCGTATAGCGAAACCTATAGTATCTATAAATATGATGATTGATGTGTAACCAAATACTTTAACGTCAAATAATATTTTTGTAAGTTTGAATGGTTCATTTTTAAACCTTTTACGTTAAATGTTAAAAAAACTCATAGGGATCGAGGACTTACAATAATGTAACGCGATGATAGTTAAAATTTGATTTTCGATATCATGATAAAATTCAGTACTTATATCTGAAATATTTTAAATAGTAAATATGACGTAAAAATAAAATAGAAATACAAAATACATGTTTTTTTTTTTATCGTTTTTACATCTGTTATTACAACAAAATAATAGATTCATTTTAAATAAGAAATTGTACATTTCGTCATATTAATAACTAAATATTTGATCTCGGATGTGATTTTTGAAAATGTTATTCGGAACTAAAACAAATTTTGATTTAATTTTTTAAAAAAATACCTACGTAAATTTTAATTTACACACGTCTTCGAGTTGTTAAGAGGTACTTAAATCTAAAGTGCTTAACCCAACGGTCAACCCTTCGTTAGTGTGTATTGGGGATTATTTTACCCCAAGTAATAAGAGATTTCGTGATATTTCCAGGCGAATTAGTTAACACATTAACTAACGAAGAGTTAATTACAATTATTTGAAAACAAATATACAAAAATGTCCAAAATCAAATCATTATAACACAAAAATATGAAACGCAAAATAAATTATGTATTAATGGAGTACTTCAATAGTTATTGTTGTTGTACCGATACATAAAAATAGACAGAATAAATATTGTTATTGTTATTGAGAACAGGCGGAAGTCGGAACGCGATCATCGGGACACGTCGACGAAACTGAACACGTAGAACTCTTTCAGCACGGCTTGGCCCACGTGCACGTTTAGCTTGGCCGCGTACACGGCGTTGGCCGCGGCCGTGGACGACACCGAGGCGGCTTCGTGTTCGGCCGCGGACGACGACGACGACGAGCCGCCGCCCTCGTCTCGCGCCGTTTCCGCGCCGGCGTCGTCCTCGCGCTGGCTCAGGGCGACCGTCACCGACCACTGTTCGTTCGGGGCCAAATGCCGCCGCAGAGGCCTGCCGCCGTTGGCCAGGTCGAAGACGGCGTCGTCCGTCGGCGTCCACTCCGGTCCGTCCAACGACGCCGGCGGCCGGCCGGACAACAGCGACTCGGCCAAACGGTCCATGGTGTCGTCGTCCGCCGCGTACTCGCGCACCTTGGTCCATTCCAGTTGGACGTTGAACCGAGCCGGCGGTCCGGTGTTTGTCACCTGTCCGCGCAACACAACTAGGTGTTATTATTATTGTTGTACAAACGACACACACAAACAAGTGTATTATTATTATAATATTATTATTTATTCGACATTTCCATTTTGGTTTCGTTACACCCGGACGGCCGGAGAGGGCAACACGCTATTATCGGATATTTACAGCAATGTAATATAATGTATTGTAAACCCGCTGTTATGTTGTGGTATTTTTCATGAGCGCATTTTTCCACCATTGTCCGCTGCATAACGCCAAGTAACGCGATACGCCTACCTATCGTCCGACACCATGATGATGGCGGTCGGCTAAGGGCATATCGCGCGGTCAATGAGGTTTCAATAATATCATAATAATCACACTGTTACTATGCTTTAATATTCAAATAAATCTAGTAAAAAAGTGAGCTCAAAAGTAAAAAAAAAGTTAAGAATAATCCACACTTCATGCAGTTACATCAATACATGGATATGTCCTGCAATCTAGTAACTCTAATATCTTATCTCTAGACGCCAATCCACTATCGCTATTAATTCACCTTCATACTCCTCCATAAACCCTCCATAATCCATCCATGATTCTCCTCCTTAATCCATAATGACGTCAGCACTGTGACACAAAACGTGACGGACAAATTTTCAGAATGACCTCCATAGCCATAAGACATGATATCATGTCAAAATAATTTTACTATAAGAACAATTTACCAATTAGTTGTAGCACATTTTTTTTTTAAATGTCAATTACTGTGAAAACAACCGAAAATTAACTACAATTTTAAATAACGTTAAACGTCTTTGATTTTTGACTGTGGGCCATATTCAACAAAGTCCCTAATAAATTTATCAGATAAATTTATCAGATAAAATTATCAGATAATGTTTTATATTGTGAGTTTTTTTTGTAATATAAATTTGGTTCAATTTTAGTGTGTGACACATACATTTCATAATACTTAATCCTTAAAGTTATAGTGGTATTATATTGAAACCACCTTTTAAATAGTTTTTTTGCGATTGTGAATTGTGGTATCTTATTGAAACCACCGTCAAAATAATTAAAAAAATTAATGAGTGACTCAATAGGTTAACTCAATGAATTTGGACTTTACTGAATAGGGTCCACACTTTTCTTTTTAGTCAAAAATTAAAGATGTTTAACATTATTTAAAATTATAGTTGATTTTCGGTTGTTTTCAAAGTAATTGACATTAAAAATAAAAATGTGCTATAATTGATTGGTAAATTGTTCATGTGGTAAAATTATTTTTTAATTTTGAGTTTTTACAACATTTTTTAGAAAATTATGTTTTTAAAAAAGTTTTATGTTTTTTATTTTTACTTTTTAGTCCTATTAAAGGTACTTAATAATTGTGAATATACTACTAAATTATTATGGTTAATATAGGGGGAGACATAGTCAATTTCTAATTGCAACAAATTCAATATTGGCATAGCGCACCTGTACGACTAATTTATTGGGCGATTGACCATTTTGAGGTCGGATCACAAAGAGGAGATCGTCGGGTACAATAGTGCAAGAAGGACCGATGCCGGTGCCGCTTAACTTGATCGTCACGCGCATCGTCCCAGAAGCGATTTCAATATTCTCCTTCACCTGTACACAAAGGCATACATACAAATTAAACATCCGGTGTAATCCAATGCGGGTTAGTATGGATGTTATGATGTAAGTACGGCTAATTCGTGTTCGGGTGTAAAGTAAACGTTGATTGGAACCGTTTGATCCGGTTCTATGGTGTGTTCGCCGTTCAAAGCCTGCAAACAAAACAGTAAAGCCCGAGCCAGTAAATCTGCCTAAGGATCTTGGCAGGTTAAGACGGGGCGCGGGATAAGGCTGCCATTTTGTGACAATGATTTCTTAAGTATATAAGGCAGTGTAGCGGAGATGAGAATATTGAAATGGATGAGTGAGTGACTAGGAAAGATATAATAAGAAATTAATACATAACGGGCAGTCAAGGAGTTGCATCAATTGTGGAGAAAATAAGAGAGAATAGGGTGAGATGGTTCGATCATGTTATGAGAAGAGATGAGGCAGAGGCAGTGAGAGGTGATATGAAGATGAAAACAAAGTCATATGATGATAGCGGGGGTGATTGACCGAGATGTGGAAGACCGAGCTCTATGGAGGTGTAAGACTAGGGTGGCCGACCCCATGTAGTTGGGAGTGTAAGGCGAAGATAAACAAGAAGAAGAAGGTTTGATTACATAGGCGCAAAAGAAAGGCCCTGTCGGATCCGGCATGGATATCCTTAGCGGGATCGGATGGTCGCGCAAGTTGTGCACCAGCAGCCAGTCGTTGTGCCGGACTTTCATCGTGCATTTGCCGAAGTCAATGTGGTCGCTGAGTACGACGAAATCCGGTTTTGTCATTGGGCAAACGACAGTCAACTTCAACGAGCCCCTTTCAAACCTTTAACGTACGTTCGTCGGTCAATAACAATAACAACCGACAGCTCGTTTACCATATTATAAACATTGATTTCAAATCTACCCAAAATGTTTGACAGGTTTTTGTTCGCATAGCTGAACGAAACACACAGCCGGTACAGTGATCGTTCTGTCCGGCATCCAAGCGAAGAACGTTTTGTCCGTTTCGAATCTCCTGACGTTTTTCAGCAAGTTGGTTTTGCTTTTAAAGACAACCTGACGGTGGTACAAAGACATTGCAGTTCGATCGAACGACGATTCAGGTAGGTACATACTTGGTTCACGATGGAATATTTATCCGTAAGTGCATTCTGGACGTCGTCTTTGCTTTGTTCAGAGTTGAAATGCTTGTCGTAAACACTCTGAAATTCGTCGCTGAGTTTTGGCCGGAAAACGACTACGATTTGAACGGCCTAAAGGAAAAAAAGGTGTACCCGATGAATGAGAATACCATTTAAGTCTGGACATAAAGTGGGGATCAGAGAACAAATTTAGGCATATTGTCTTTGTTCAGTGAACAATTTACTTCTTTCGACCGCAGAGTGCCGTTTTTCGGTTTGAATTCCAAGCAAGGATCGATGGAAACGAATTCAAATCTGACCAGGAACTTGGGTATTGTAGAATTGCTGCCCCGAGCCACGGCGGAAGCCAAATTCGACGCTCTCAACTCAAATTTGCACGTCGAAAAAGATGTCAGATGTGTTTTGGCCATGACGATTTTCTGCGCGGAAAGCTCCACGGGAAGGTCTAGCACTCGAGCCTGGCATTTCACAACGGCTTTCGACCGAATTAAGTCTTTGTCCGCCGTATTCAATTCCACGGCGATGCGGTCGTCGGCTTTCGGTATTGCTATGCTCATCGGACCGTGATCCAAGTCCTGTACTGATCGTACTTTTTTTGAACTTGTCGTTGGAGCCGATCGCATAATTTTCGCACCAGTGCTCGGCCTTTTATCCACCACCTATTCAATACAACCTTGGGAATTATTTTGGTTAGAAGTCGAGGCATTGTGAGGCATAGATAAGATTGGCTTGTGTAGCACAATACGAGCTTGAGGTACTTGAGAGAATAATACGGTAGCGCGAAAGACCTATTAGGAATGTCCAATGAAATGAATGTCAAAAAATGTATTCGTACTTTGTCACGAGCCTCGTTCGCGTTCATCCCGGCTATTGTTGTGCACGTCAAGTCGAATTCGTCTTTGAAATCGTAGACGTCCTTCGGCATGTCTTTAGTTCGGGGACTGTAGTAAATGTGCAGGTGTAGCTGTTCGCCGCTAAAGATGGTGCCGAATGCGCTAGGCAACACGCAAACCCTCTGAAAACATTCATTGGGTTATTCCTATAATAATCATCTCCATGTTTGATTTTAAAATATACAGATGACCGGTGCTATACACAAGGGGGTACACAGAGGTACCCTCGCCATAGTTTACCATCTGTCCGTCCATTAACTACTGCCTATAGCTACTCCATGAATAGTGAATAATTACTTCTGGCAGCTTCAAGAAACCGTAGTCCATCGTGACTAGCGAACGGTTGAACAACCTGATGTTTCGGACGACCGTCTCTGTTGTGTTGACAGTGCCGAACCGCAAACATTTAGGAGACAATTTTAAACCGAACGATGTCGACACCACGGCGAAAACGCGCACCTCGCACACCAACTTCAACCAATTTTGGGTGGAGAACACTCGCAATGGAAACTCTAAGAAGCCGCTCTTGGCTTTCAGGTATTTGTCACTGTCTTTCGTTTGCAGAAATTCGTATCTGGAAATATTAACATGGATAATATGTTTGAGACTGGGAGTCTAGGTTAGATTTGGATTAGACACGTAAGACTAGGTTATATTTAGGTTGGTTGGATAAGATTTGGATTAGTTAGGTTGTCACTATTGAACTACGGACAACTATCAATATCGAGGAAATCGACAAACCCCATCTGATTTGAGAAATGAATTTTACTAGATTAAATAATCTTCAATCACAGACTACGCCTGTCTGCAAGATTTGTGTTTGCTAGCATTTAACGTACAGCGTTTAAAAACGCACAAAAACAAGATTTGATCACTTGCTGCCAGTAATCAAGCTTGCAAGCTTCGACGGAAGACCTGAGCAAAGGCAAATTTTAAAGGGCTCAGAAATACTACATACTTGAGATTGAGTCGCAGATGAATGTCCAAACGGTGTCCGGCCTTGAGATAACCTTTGGACGGCACCAGCTCTACATAATCGTTGAGTTCTCGGGGCGCAATAATTTCGAACGGTATCATCACTCTGCCTTTGTTGTACAGCGCGAACGTGCCTATCCGGCAATAACCTTCCAGATAGCACACGCCCATGTCTACCACGTCGGGTTCGACAAATATACTCTGGCTTCTGACTTGACCATAGACGTTTATAATCTGCCAACAAATGCGGAGACGATGTCAATTTATTGTGCGAAAAATTAAAAAAAAATTCCGTTCAACTTGATTTGGCAGTCGATAGTCCTTTTCGTGGAACACGATCACGAACGATTTGGACATTGACGATTCCGCATTGTAATGGTTAAACGCCACGGTAACCTCGGCGGTCTTCTTAGCCGGTAGCAGTACGTTGGTATGGTTTTTCCACGTGAAATAACTGAACAAGTCGTCGAGGACGTTGTGAACTATGTCTCTGACGACCGCTGTCTCGGTTTCTTCGGCCTTTGCCGGGGTTTTCAAACGTTTTTTGGCTTCCGGATGATCTAAAAACGTCGAACAAGTTGATTTCCGATCTATAATCTTCTTACGATATAATATGATGACAGTATAGTCTTAATTATAATTGTTCTGATCCAACAGTTTTTTGTAGTTTCATAATATCTGGTCTTGGTCGATATACTGGCAATATGGCAATATGGCAACATTTCTCATAAATCATTTTCTGTGGTTCACCGTTAAGTAAGTGCCTAACTAACCAATTCATTTGACTATCCTTCTATATATCGTTATATCCTTATATACCCTTTTATATCCTTATATCCTTACATTCTTAAATACTTATAACTTACTTAAGGAGTACCTAGTATCTATTCTCTTAATATGTAATCACATACAACCGCTCGAGTACCTAATCTCTTATCTCTCATATCTTATCAGAATTATTTGTCAACCGCTAGATTGCGCTACACGCACAGATTTTCTTATATACTTTGGATTATACGCGATTCGATTGTAAAACTATGTAACCACTCACTATAGTACAGTCGTTGATAATCGGATTCGCCGAGAACGCTGAACTTGCAGTCGACCGGGCCGTTGTTTTTCAAAATCAACCGTTTCCAATGCTTGTCGTATAAACCCAGACTGGGGTTGATGGGAAATCTGCGTGTAAGGTAGTATATAGTTAAGAGTTAAGTTTAGGAAACGCAACACGCGTATTAGCATTATTGTATGATCAATACACGTGGTGCGCACGTCTTACGTTATCGTCTTGCCGCTGACCACTTCCGGTTCCGGTCTGGCGGTGCAAAACTTGAGCGGAACATAAAACACGTACTTAACGTCCAGCCGGTTGTTTTTAACGGTTTCGAACGCCAATTTCACTCCGTCCAGACTCGGATACTTAACTGAGTTTGGTAATTGCACTGGTTTAAACCGTACTTGGTAATCGACGGTCACGCCCGGCCGCAACCGACGTGTAATGGTGTCGGCCTATCCAAATCTTAATAATAATTATACTTAATGATAATAATAATAATCTTAAGATTTTTACCGCGATTATGTCCCGGTGATCGCCGAAGATCTCTTTGGGATCGTACAAGTGGCTGTACCGACAGACGAAAGTGATTTTACTCGGATTGCTGATCTTCAACTGTGCACTAATCGTACAACCGATCGGTATGTTGTCCGTGATCTATTTTTACAATACTATAATTTAAAAGTGTAATAAAAATACTGTACTTGGATAATTAAAAAAAATTTATAAAATCTCTTTGGTAATTTTCTTTTTCTTTGGTAAGCTCTTGTATTTAGCGATATTGTATAAAAATAATAATTATTATTATACAACTACACGACATAATTCACAAAACTATTTGGGTCACTTTTTAGTAAAAGTTTAATTTAAAAAATTGACCAATTATAACTATTATTTGCCAATAATAATTATCCGTTGCCTATCTTATCAATAGACGTTGTTATCGTTTAATCAACAACATAATCAGCCGGTTTCGCCAACTATTATTAATTACACTCTTAACATAATGTTAGTTAACAATTCATTTAAAGTGAACATCTGGTTAAATTAAGTAAGTTTCATCATAACATTATTATTATTATTAAATTATATTTATTAAGTTAACAAAATGTTAGTTAGGATTACCAAAGCGGTTACATTGATTCCAACGTTCTCATTGGTTATCACGAAATATGATAACTTATAAGTGATAATAAATAATCAAACCTCAATTAGTAATATATAATTCTATCTATAGCACTTTAACATGCCAATTAACTTTTGAACAAGCCCAAAGTCCAACCTGGATAATTTTTTATTCAAAAGTTCAAATAACGTTTTATTTAAATATATTATTTACATAATTCGAGTAATTTATTATTTAAATATGTATTTTTTTAATAACTAAACATTATTATGCATTTGTCAATTTTAATGTATAATAAACATTTTTATCATTTTCTTCTTATACATACTTTTTCTGTTGTAGTTTAAACAAAAACGTAAACTTATAATAATAATTACCTATTTAAAACAATTTTTTTTTCTTTTAGTAACGCCTGTCTTTGCAATATTATATAAGATTTATAATTAATAAAAATAGTAGTTAGGTAAGTCACAATAGTTACAACATGATTTTATCGTTTGTCGGTCAGTGCAAATATTGCACTTGATTGCACTTACCTCAAACACCAAACATTTTGGACTGCACTCTAGTCCGGAATCTAATATGGGGCAATAATTAGGTTTGTTTTTTATGCAAATCAATTTTGGACCGCTGTACTTAGGTCTGTCGACTTCGGTCACATCGTGTTTCAACTTAAATGAATACAAATTTTCAAATTTTCAATTTTTCAATTTTTTCACTAAACACTACTTAGTTTTATTTCGATTGACTCACCGTTTCCGGTGTTCTATTTTTGATCAGTTTTCGGGTTTCTATAACACTGTCGGGTAACATACTGCTGTAATATTGGTCGGACACAATGTCTGATGGAAAATACATCTTATTGTTGTCCTTCAATCTTTGGTACGCCATTGTTTCTCGTAGCAATTCCTCCTCGAGTTTTTTTAAACGCGATTCGAGTGTAGCTACTTTTTTATCCAACGACATGGGCGGCTCCGACTTGTTTGCACTGTAATAAAATATACAAAAAAAAATAGAATCAACATTATGGACTGATTTATTAGATTTTGTTTTTTCAAGCAAACGCAATACGTTGCTTATATTGACTTGACAACTTTAAAATATGTTTACAAATAAGCCAAACGTGTGTTCGACAAAATCCAATAGAAATTTCGAATTAAGCAAAAAAAAAAATATATTTAAATCTGATATTAACTCTTAGGTTAAAATAATATATGTATGTGAGTTTAGTTTTTTTTAAATAATGTAATAGGCCATAATATCTGTATCTAAAACAATATTAATTATTTACATTTTAACAATTACCTATATATTTTTGTTCAAAATATATTTTCCGGGTTTTACATATTAACCAAATTCGGTTTTCAAAAAAAAATGTATAGGTACGTTTAACCGTTTTAAATATTTTAGTTGTATAAACGCAATGAAAATGTATTTGATAAACTAAATATAGTTTAAAAAAACTAAAAACACGCTTAAATAGTAAAAAAACTAAAAAGTAGAAAATAATTTTCAATATAGAAATCAATTAATAAAAAATAAATAGTAATATTGTGAAAAAAGTGTGGGACGCTTTTCAAGAACTGATATATGTAGCACCCCACGCTTTTTTCACAATAACACTATTTATTTTTTATTAATTGATTTCTGTATTGAAAATTATTTTCTACTTTTTAGTTTTTTTACTATTTAAGCGTGTTTTTAGTTTTTTTAAACTATATTTTTTTATTTTCAACTTTTTAGTTCGATGTGCTTTAAAATCGTGTTTTTTAATTCTAGTACATACGTGTCTCTATTACTTGAAAACTTCAGGTAAACAACAATGAATACACGCATGTACGTTCGGTTGCCTATCTCTTTTAGTTACATAGTTACATACAAACATACAAACATACAAACATACATACAAGTGAAGCTAATATAAGCTCAAACATCTCTAAATGGACATCAATGTATTAAATTTATTTAACAGTTTTTAAACAAGTTTTTTTTTTCAATCCAGAATTTTACTATAATTGTATTACAAGTTAGTACTATTGATTATAATTTATAATTAATATAAATTTTAATTGTGGGGTGTTCCAAAAAGGTGTTGTACACAAAAAGTAAATCATTCATATAAAATTATCATAATATGTATATCAACTGTAATTTATAGCCAATGAGAATTTTATGGAAAATAATGGGTTTTTTTTCTTTTGGCAATTATTTGCTATTACTAAACACATTTTTATGAGAAAAAAACTAATAAAAATACCTATTTGTCTATTTGAAGAAACTTGCAGTTATTCTCAAGAAAATATTGAGTTTTCGTTTAAGAACACGATTGTTTTCAATAGAATTTCGGTACTACTAAAATTATTGATAAAAGAAATTGTTTTTTTTTTATTATACTTAGCATCCTATTATCAAGTTTGGCCACATACAATCCGCGACACCCTGTAGGTTAAGGACCATATTGAATACTACATTGATGAATTTTCCTAATTTGTATTGGTTTTGTAAAATGTTTTTTTTACCAGTAAACTAAATTGTTTTCACAACCCATTTCGCTTTGGGCGTTTCTAACGTTTGGCAATTGAATTCCGGTAGATTTTTCCATGCGTTTCTAAAGTTTAAAATAAGAGAAAAAAATAATAATTGTTTTTGTTTTGCATTTATGCATATTATTATTATACAGGGTGTGTCAAAAATAATGGTGGGGTTTCAAACGGCTGTAGGTTGTAAAGTATAGGACCTACGGCGCTCTGGTAGGGCTTGAATGAAAGAGGGGTTGTCAAGTTTTGAATGACTGTCACTAGACGTCTCTCCACGTTCCCGTTTGTGTCGCCAGCCTTCATTGTTCAGTTTGTTATGATGGCGTCCTCGCAAGAGAAGTGATCTAGTTCGCGAAGCGTAATTCAGTTACGATTATGAAACATCTAGTGGCAGTCATTCGAAACTTGACAACTCCCTCTTTCATTTAAGTCCTACCAGAGCACTGTAGGTCCAATACTTCACCACCTACAGCCGTTTGAAACCCCGCCATTCTTTTTGATACACCTGTATTATATTGGCGCCTACTTTGATAGCTTCAACGCCCAACAAGATTTTCTCGTTGTCGATTTTGGTCTGTTCGGATAACATTTTCCGTTCAGTTTGCTTCCTGGCCAAGTTTTCCCGTTTAGCTTGTTCCGTCAACGGGTACACCCTTGTCGCCTCTTTGCCTTGGTCCAAGTTCAACTCGACATCCGAACGGTAAAGATAGTGTTCGGCCACAGGCGAAACTTCTGTTTCCGGCCAACTACGTTCGCTTCCGGTACCCGCGGCGGCCATGTCTTCCGTTTGTAGACCGTCTTCGTGATCCAAAGACATCTCCCGGAAACCGGTGGTCGAAGACATGCCGGCAGACGAACCTTCGGCCATTGTCGCACGATAGCTGCAAGTCGTGTAAGACTAATAAAAAATATATACTTACCTCTACATTTGGAACATAAAAAAAAAAGTGTAGAAAAACAAATTAAACGTGGCAAAATGCTATATTATGTTTGTTTGACGTGGTTGCTACAATTTTTAATAAATTAAATGTGATTTATATATATTATATTACATAAACAAAGTATCATTTTATCGTGAACCCCTCTATATCTTAGTTTAATAAGAAATTTGATTAATTTTTTGCATATTGTTTTTATACATTATGATCTCAATTTTGCTCAATTTTTGTTTGGTTTTGCCCTCCTCCGAAATGTGATTTTTTTTTATAGCAACTTTTCAAACTGGCTTTTACTGGTCGATAACCAGTTTTGAACAACTATTTTTAATGTTATAAGCGTTTAAAAGTTAAGTTGGCAAGGGAAATGCGCGCAGATAAAAATAAAACTACTTCTCCATCTTTCTCCACCTGCTCTAAATTTGAAACTTGAATAACTTCAAAAATATAGTTATCTAAATCTGGTTATCGACCGATCATTATTCACAATTTAAAAATGTAATGCAATGTATGCGTTACCGTTTAAGTTTCAAATTGTTGATATTAAAAAAAACTCAAAGTTTGGAGGGGCAAATTGTGAAAAAAAATTGGGAAAAATTCAGATCGCATAGTATAAAAACATTATGAAAAAAAAACCTTTTTAATTTCTTATTAAACATATTTAAATATGAGATATTAAGTGGCTTACGGTTCAAAATGATCACCCTGTATAATAGCCACGTCGATGACTCTCCCAACGGCTTAGTTGTTTTAGAGTGATGTTTTTTTTTTCAATTTTTATTTGTCCCTTAAGTATTGTTTTTTTGAACATTTTTGGAGTCATCGTGAAAACATCTTTTTTGCTTACTACATTTGCTACCGCACCCTTTTAGTTTAGGACTTTAGGTCTGAGAATTTAGAATAAAACTTTTTTTTATATATATAAATAATAAAAGGGGGAAATTGCACTTTGACCGAAGACAATGTGTCTTAGGTTGCCAAATGTGAGTGAATCCGACGTCAGTCAACAGGTCATGTGTGAAAATATTTTCATTATATTGTTGGCCATTGACCATTGTAAATCTCAAACATGCAAGTAAATAATTATTATAGACCCTACAACGTTTTTAGGGATATAATAATAATTGCTTTCGCTTTCGGTTACTCAATCATTCCCGTATAGAACTGTGACTACACTGTACAGGGATTTTTTTCTTCTAAGTTAACCCTGAACAACAAAAAACAATACAGGTAGCATAATGGGCTGCTACTGAAACATTCAGACGAACGAAACCAAAAGTTATATTTTGCCGTGAACTCGGTGGTACCTACGGGTATGTTGGCCGAATACCTACCGACCAAAGACAATAGCACAGCGCATTCGAATTAACCAATCAATAGAACAAAACGCGATCGCACCACGTTAGAATTACATGGTTTGCATTGTGTAATAATTTTTTATACACACCTGACAATGAAAGGCAACAATAATAATGGTAAAAACCGTGTGAACGCGTTAATTATTATGTTATGTGCATTACGTGTATAGACAATTCCCTCCCCCGCTCTCCCAAAAGACTTTCGTCTCGAGAATAATATTTTTGTTAAAAATAACAGGCCATATAATATGTAAATGTTATCTGAAAATGAAGTGAAGGCTTTTTTTTTATTATTATTTTTATTCAACTTGACATTTTCTTTAAGATGTATACTTGAGTTTTTCCCTCATACGAGTTGTTATTTTATTTTGTTCTGTGATTAAATGTTTTGCAAACAACAGTTAATTATTGGTAATTCCATAATATGTGTAATAAATCATAGTAAAAACGAGGTAATGACATGTGGTAACTGGTAAGTGGTAACTATAGCTAATGTATTCGTGTAGGTGTGTTGATATTGTAATTAATTTAGTTGTACATATGTCATTAATGACACTATAAGGTGGTATTTATTCTCATTTAATACATGCCCATGATGTTTGTATATTAGTTTGTTTAACATATGATTTTCATAGTTATTATAAAAAATATGCGAGGGCTACAAAAAGTTAAAGAAAATGAACTATTATTACATTGACACAAATTGAAAATAAAGAACATAT